AATCTGGGTAGGTGGGAGGAGCTGTAAAACCCTAGCCCATTAAATCGCTTATTAGTTGCAGGTTTCTGAGCATGTAGGCAAAGTATTTTGAGACTGCAAATCTTATACTATCCCCCAATCATCGGATCTGTGGTGTTTAGCCCATGATATGGCTGAAAAGGGGGCAGCACCCCTACTCCCAACTGTATGAAGGGGTCTTACAAGCAGTTTTGGATTCCGTCACTTGATTTTTCCCGTCTTATTCCAAAAGGCAGAAAAATACACAGAAACAACCCTCCTCAAGCTCCAAATGTCTTTCAAGTTGATGCTTATTTTTTGAAAAGGGCATTCTACCCCTCCATACATAGCCCAGCTTCAGCCCATCCACAAGGGGCCCCCTAAATCCCCCCAAAGCCTGATCTGAAACAAGGGCAGCCTCTTCAATATCCAGAGTAAGAGAAGGGAAAGGAGAGGGAGGGAAGGAGGGGGGCTGGTTTTCCTGGAACCCTTATTAAATCAACTTTCCAAGGACAGCCAGAAACTCCAGGCCCTCCCCATCCCTCAGGAGTATTTGCAGTCTGGGGGAGGGGCTCCCCAATCCCTCTCCTCCCAGTCACAGCAAAGTCTTTCTAAAGCAGAAAATCTCTCCATGTGAACAGGGTTTGGGTAATCTGTTTAAAACTTTTTGGGACAAATATTTTATATATACAGATGACAGTCTTTTTTGAGGACAACATTATTGAATAATCAACAGGCCCAAGTTTGGCTATCAGACAGCTCAGAAGGGTAAGTGATGTGAAGGTGCTACCTCGAAAGGGACCTAATCAACCAATAGTGAACTGGGACTTATTCTCCAAGTCCAGAGTGTTTCCACTTCTGTGCCCTAAGACTTCCCATGTCTACCTATGAAATAAGCCCTTCCCTGTGTGGTGTCTCCTGCGGGGTTCCAGGAAAAGGCACCCACACTGCCACTGATTACTCTGCTCACTGACTAGGTACTGGGCACTGTTTGAAGAGCACCGCACTGGTGTTCCCAGTGAATTCAGGGGCAGATGTTCATCATCAATTTTTTTTTTTTAAGATTTATTTATTTATACACATAAGAGCTGGGGTACAGGTCAGAGATGCGGGGGTGGAGGGAGGGGTGAGAGGATTCACCAGAGTGGGGAGCAGAACAGGCAGACTGACTGAAATACACTGCTGAGGGGAGCAGCAGGCGAGCCAGGAGAAGTCTGCCTTGCTATGTGGGTCACCTCCCCAGCTGGGGATAGAACTTATGCTGCAGAGGATGAGGATTGTTCCACAGTGTAGTGCTTAACCCCTTGCGCTACCAGGGAGGCCCATCATCAATATATTTTTAGTTTTTTAAAAGATTTATTTATACAAGAACTGGGGTACAGGCTAGAGGCATGGGAGGGTGAGAGGATTCAACAGAGACAGAGCAGGGAGCAGAACAGGCAGACGGACTGAAATACACTGCTGAGGGGAACAGCGGGCGAGACAGGAGAGGTCTGCTGTGCCATGTGGGTATCTCCCTGCCGGGCTGGGAGTTGAACCCGCGCTGCAGAGGCTGCGAACAGTTTCACAGCACTGTGCCACCAGGGAGGCCCTCAATATATTTTAGAGACACAAAGAGAACCTTTCCTAACAGTAAACAGTCAGTAAGAAGTGGAGCCAAAATCAAAACCAAGGCAATCCAGGGTAAGAGAGGTATACGGTATACAAATGTTCACAGGAATTTTTGTAATAACAGCCAAAATTGTTAACAACCCAAATGGCCAATAACTAGGTAAATGGATACACATTCACCATATTATTCCATTATATGACATTCTGGAATAGTTCATGAAACTAACCTACAGAGACAGTGAGCAGATCAGTGGATGCCTGAGGTTAGTGCTGCAAGGGGACTGACTGCAAAGGGGCAAGAGGGAGGGCCCAGGGTGATGCAAATGTCCCATATCTTGATTCGTATGGAAGTTTCCAGAAATGTTACATTTATGAAAATGTGTTGCAATGTACACTTAAAATTAGTGTACATTACAGAATGTAAATTATACCTCAATGACACTTCTTTTTAAAAATGGCAGCCTACTTTCTGTCTTTACCACTACAGAGCCTCATAACAGCCCGCCAGCTCTCCTACTCTCTCTCCCTCATGGAGCCTGTACTTTGTCCTCATCAAAATCATCACTCTGCGGCTCATCCTCCTACACTGCTGTAACTTCCTTTCCCCGTATAGAGTCACTTACCAGCAGCTTCAATGACAATACCCTTATCCCCTCACTGCTGCCCCCCTGAAATTCCTTAAGCTTAAGCTTATACTTTGGGCACCCCTTCCTGCTTTATAAGTCCCCAGGCTTGAGATCCATCCTTAGGCTGCAAAAGAGTCAGAGAAAAGTTAAAAAAGAAAAAAGTACCCTATGGGCTATTATAAATTTATATTCTCAAACCACATCCAAGCCCCCATTGCTTTAGAACTCCCTTATCAAAGTTTGTGGTGTAGGTGATGTGAATCTTCTCTGCTCCTCACCCAAGCCTCCCTCTAATTCATTCCCTTTTTCTCATCTCATCTTGCCTTTGTCTGCAGTCACCCAGAGTTGATGTCAAACCCTAACCCAAGGTTATTTCTACAGTGTCTCTACCATTTTTCCTTCCTTTATGACCTGTATGTCTCCCCTCCTGCCCACTTCATCGACACCCTTACTTCTAGCTAGAGATTCAAAGCAACTGTCCCGGGCCTCCCCAGTGGCGCAGCGGTTGAGCGCTGGGTTGCGAAGCTGCCCGCGGCCTCTGCGGTGCCGGTTCGATCCCCGGCTGCTCCCCGGCCACCGGAGGAGGGTCCCGCATGGCGCGCAGACCTCTCCTGCCGCCCGCTGCTCCCCTCAGCAGTGTCCTTCGGTCCTTCTGCCTGCTCTGCTCCCCGCTCTGGCTCTGGTGAATTCTCTCACCCTCCCGTGCTTCTGACTGTACCCAGTGCATGTATAAACAAAACAAACAAACAAACAAATAAATAAATAAATAAAACATGCCTCTAAAAAAAAAAAATAAATAAATAAAGAGCACCACTATTAAATGTGGACTTTTAAAAAAAAACAAAAAACAAAAAACAAAAAAAAAAAAAACAAAAAAAAAACAAAGCAACTGTCCCACTTGTCTTTTTGGCAACAGCAATAGCAGCAGTAATAACTACTAACACTTTACCTGTAAGTGCTTTATCAGGATTATCTCCTCTAATCCTTTATTAATGGCCGCATTTTAAAGATGAGCAAACAAAGGCTCAGTTTGGTTGAAAATATGTCAAAGCAAGTAATGACATCATTAAGTGATGGAAAAGGATTTGAATAGAGTCCCTCTCACTTGTTCCTCCCACCCACCCATATTCATCTGCCAGATCAATTTTCTAAAAGCTGGACCTGCTCAAAACTTTTCAAGAGTCCCAGTATCTACCCATTTAAGTACAGTTTCCTAGCAGGGAACAATGCTAACTTCTTCCAGCTTCTCCTACACTTATCTACTTGTTCTCTCTACAATTTATACACAACTCTGCTCACGCTATTCCACCTAAAATGCCCTTTATATTCTTCTTCCAACCCCTGCCCACCCCTCTAGACACATCTTAGATGCTCCCTGCTCCTGTCTGCTTCTGTATTCCCACTGCATTTTGTTATGACTCCACTATGAGGTTTAAACAGTCTAGCCTTATTTATTTATCTGTGCTCTTGTCTCCTCCTTCCCCTCCTCCTTCCCTCACAATGAACTGCTCATGGGTAGAGATGGTCTCTCACACTTTGGGTCTCCTGCATGGTCTAGCTCAGGTCTTACCTTCAGTTGTTACCAAATCCAACATTAACCTTTGGGCTCCAGCCAGTGCACTTCCTAAAAAGCCTCCCATACCCTCCCTTCTTCCTTCCCCATACAGTGTATCTCACTCATGCATCATTTAACAGGTCCTGACTGCTGAGATGACGGCCCTTTAAATGCAGCTATGTCACATGCACATCTGAATATCTCGCCCACAGCCTTCCGACTCTCTTGATGTGACCACCACTGAGTTACAAGCCACACTACCCATTGGCAGCAGAAACACCCAAATATTATTTTTCAAAGACCCTCAAAAGCCAAGTATGCTGTACCTGTCATCTCTATGAAGTATTTTCATAATTTCAGCAAATTCTATGAGCAGTGGGACAAGTTGTTCCTGTTACCAATAACCTCTCTGAATTTCCAACATGCTGAGGTCTCCACCCAAGCCCTATAATGTGCCTTGGTTCTCAATTTCTTCAAAATCCCTCTGACAGTCTATATCCAAAGCAAATTGCTTAGTAGGCCTCCAAAGACAGCCTTGGAGACAATGTCAAGGAAAGTAAATGGCAGGCATGGTCAGCCTTTATAGAACATATGTCTTTGGAACAAATCTTCTAGAAGTCAGAAGTCTTTTTTTTTTTTTTTTTTTTCTTTTGGTGGGACCCTCGCTAGCGGCCAGGGAACCAACTAGCGGCCAGGCTGCAGGCAGCCTTGTAGGCCAGCGCTCAACCACTGTGCCACCAGGGGAGGCCCTAGAAGTCAGAAGTCTTTATCAAGTTCCCACACCCCTCAACATTCCCCATAGTCTGACCAAGTACTAAGCCCAAATTCACTGACCACTTATTCCCCACTGCCTCAATAACTTCATTTTATGTATCATCTATTATAATAAGTTAGGGAGCTGGTTCTTGGATCCTAAGCAAAAGTTCTTTTTTCAGGGGAAAAAAAAAAAAAAGAAAAGCATAAACCCACCCAGAGCAAATCATTCATTTTTGGTAAATGGGTATTATCAGCCTACACGACCCAAACTCTGATGAAGTTGATTATGTTTATAACCACACACCAGCCCAGGTATCTTGGGAATCTCTCCTATAGGAAAGGAGCCCTTGCTCCACCTAGGATGGAGCCTTCCCAGTTGACTGCATCACCTTTGGCCCAGCCCACCCTATTTCTCAGGGCCAGGAGTCCAAGCTGCCCCTCAGCCCCAGCCTTACCTTGTTCAGGCAAGGTTGGGGCCGGCCTGGCGGTGCAGCAGAATGTGGCTGTGACCAGCACAGCCCAGAAGAGGAGGCACTTCCAGCTCCACATCCCAGTTCTGCAGTTAGAGGTTGGTGACAAGGCTCCACCCCTCCATGGAGACTCCGGCTTGAGCTCAATCCTCCCTTTGAAGCTGACTCTGGGAAAAAGGAAAACCAAAAGTTAGGAGGGATTGCAAGGTGGAGAGGGCTGGGGGTGGGGTGGGGGAGCAGGTAAAGCATGCCACCTAATCATACTGTTTGGAAGGGAGCTTGAAACAAGAACTTAGTCCTTCAGGCACAAAGAAGAGAACTGTGGTGCTGCCCCACGGCTGAATTTGAGGTGAGAGGCCTTAATTAGCAAAGCAGTGTTTTAATTCTGTCCTACAACTATTATTGAGTGTGGACTATGTGCAAGACTTGCTGGGAAAACTGTCAAGAAGTTCTGCAAGGCCTAAGTGCTGAGATTTTTTTTGTGTCAGAAAAGCATATCACTCACGAAAGTCCCAGATAGTTCTGTCACTTCATGGGCAAGGACTTCTGAGAGTGTGGAGGAACTGAGGTGAGTAAAGTATGCCAATGGCTCCCTCTAGGGCAAACCAACCCCTCTGGTGAGGAATAAAGAGAGATGGACAAGGAACAAGCCAAGAGCAAGGAAATAGTCATATAAGCATCTGAACCTCGCTGGACCTAAGCACTGAGAAAGTTGAATGAATGTATCTCCAGGGTCCTTTCTTCTTTTTTTTCTAGAACTGTCTGCAGCACTTATATCTTGGGTTCTTCCAGCTTCCCTCACTGACAGTACACAGCTCTCACCAAGTACTTAAAAGGGGCTTCAGGGTGCAGAACCACAAGGTAGAACCAATTCTCTTACCCAGTATCAAAGGGGTGATTGCTGATATCATACAGAAATGAATACAGAAGTGGGGACTCCAAGGGCCCTTGAAAGGGCTGACTCCCTGGTGGCTCCTGCCAGTCCCAGTTAAAACACAGGCTGCCACCCTTCACCCTTCTCAGGTCCGGAAGCTCTACCACCCAGACAACTTCCTAGGGGCTTAAGGAACAACAGATTGTTGTCGCTAAACATTTACCAAGTGACAAGACTTTCTGGGGACTTCTTGTGCTATGTGGGGATGACCATGTCTGTTCTCCAGGTGGCTTTTGTCCTAAATACTCCAGGGAACCCTTCGAGTTATTCTGAGAATCCACTTCCCCGGAACATGCCCTAAAGTGGTGCTTCAGTCCCCTCTCCCCCTGAGCCAGACAGGGCCCCTCATGAGTGAGTCAGTCCAGGCTGGCAGAACCCCCCCCCTGGATTCTTGGCTTCCTTCACATGTGCTTGCCAGTGGGAGTACAAGTACATTGCTCCCTCCCAAGGTTCTACTAAAATTTCTTAATGACTTCAAGTCAAAGGAGAAATAAACATTTCTTTTATTTTTCTAAGTTTAGGAAAGGGACTAGAAACTGAACAGAACAAATATTTACTGAATACCTACTACCTACCGAGCATGAACTAGGTAAAACTTGTTAACTATAAAATTTCATTTATTTCTCACTATAAATTAGGGGGGGGGGACAGGAATTATTATTCTCCTTTAAAGCAATGGGGAAGCAGAAACTCAAGGGAGTTCATTCTTTTGCCCAAAGACACACCGCCGGTAAGCAGCTACACCAGTACTCTCATGGCCTGGGGTTTGGGGTGCCAGGGGACAGAGCAGAGGAAGCAAATGGGGGGGGGTGATCAAATCTGGCTCTATCTGATGGAAACTCTCCACAAAGGGCATCCCTGTACCATAAAAGAACACCCAGGTAAGTAAGGACAGATCCAAGGTAAGCCTGGGAATAGGAGAACCTCCATTTTCACTTCCTCTGCTGGAAAGAAAAACCCTCAGAAGCTGCCAGATAGGATAAAGGACAGTGAATGATCCCTGGCCAGAGACAGAAGCTACACTTGCCAGAGACCCTCTCTAAACCATAATCCACATCTACAGGATGCAGGCCTGTGATCCAAAGGTACGCCTGATAAGAATGTAAGTCCTAAGGAACTGCCAGAATAATGAAAGAATTTTCAGTATCCAAAGGAAAGGGGTGGTGTCACTTCTAGATAGTTAATCTTGTTTTCAAATAGAGCAGCAGGCACTACTAGGCTACCACTCCTAAAAAGCCTGCCCGTCCATCATAGGTGGGAGCTGGTTGCAGGCTCTGTCAACAAAACATTTCAAACTAATCTGCATGGCAGCTTCTTTGCAAGTCTCCTGGGCCTCAAGCCCCACATCTGTAAAACAAAGAATGTTAAGAAAACCCAGTCTCCTGGGTACCAACTCTCAGAATGAGAAGAGAAATGGGCACATATCCCACTTCACAAATCTGCAGCTAACACAGTGACGCAAACCACTAGTCCACATGCTGTCTAGGACTCTAGGGACGGCCACCTCTTCCTACCCCTCACCTTCTTCCCATTTTATTAATTTTTTAAAAAAGATTTATTTATGCATACAAGAACTGGAGTGCAGGCCAGAGGTGTGGGGGATGAGAGGACTCACCAGAGACAGAATGGGGAACAGAACAGGCGGATTCACTGAAATACATTGCTGAGGGGAGCAGCGGGCTAGACTGGAGAGGTCTGCTGCGACATGTGGGTGTCTCCTTGGCCAGGGATCGAACTCATGCTGCAGATAGCTTCACAGTGCTGTGTCTTAACCCCTTGAGCCACCAGGGAGCCACCTCCCCCCCCCCCATTTTACTAATTAATGAATTCTTAAAATCCCTTGGGACCAGTCTCCTTCCTTCACTGCTTCACAGATGTGACCTGTAGCCTCACAGGTGTACACAGCAGGATCCTCAGAGACCCTGCAGCTGTTCCACCTCAGCCTCTTCCATTCACTCAGGTCCCCTGGGACTCAAAGTCCAACTCCACCTGGGTGCAGAAGTCTTCACTAGGGGATCCAGACACAACATCTCAGTTTTCCCACTTGTCAGAGGGGGCCTACATCACAGGTGGCTGAGAATGAAATGGGCAGCACGGTTTGGTGCCTGCTCCCCTCTCTAAGCACTAATCCAGTGTCAGATGGGATCACATCTGGAGAGCAAGCAGGGCTGAACAACAAGAAAAGACCTCGCATTTCTCCCAAAGTCAAAGAGTAAAGATTCCATGGCCTTCCAACTGCCATGTCAGGAAAACTAGCTGATGTGATTTAGGGCAAGTCTTTTTCTTTCTTTCCTTTTTTTTTTTTTTAAAGATTTATTTATTTTTATATAAGAGCTGGAATACAGGCCAGAGGTATGGGAGGGTGAAAGGATTCACCAGAGACAGAGCAGGGAGCGGAACAGGCAGACGAGAGAAATATACTGCTGAGGGGAGCAACGGGCATGACAGGGGAGGTCTGCTGCACCATACGGTATTCATCTCGGCTGGCAGGCCTGATCGAACCCGCACTGCTGAGGCTGCGGACAGTTTCACAGCGTAGCGCTCAACCCGCTGCACCACCAGGGAAGCCCAGGGCAAATCTTTTTTCTTTCTGCTTTCTGGTAAAAGTAATAAATTCTTGCCCTTCCATTTGTGACCCCTGTCACCCTAGGACAGTCACTTAACCTTTCTGAATCTGTTTTCTCACTTGTCAAAGGGGAAAAAACTATTTGAGCAGGTAGTTATGAGGATCAAATGGGCAGCATGGATAAAAGTTTTGGCTGTTCCTAGTTCACACTCCCAGGAGATCTTGGTAACTGGTGGCAGGAGGATCAAACTTACCACCTTTACAAAGGTGTTTGTCACTATTCATTTTCAAACTGTAGCCCCTAGACAGAGCTGGTGCATTTGGTGTCCCCTAACCACTCCGGCTCTGAGTACGTAAAATGTGACTAGTGTGAAGTAGGATGTACTAGAAATGATTTTGAAAATTTGTTATAACAATGTAAAATCTTACTAATAAATTTTGTATTGACCACATGTTCAACTGATAATATTTTAGATGTATGGAGTTAAAGCAAATATATTATTAAAATTTTTTAAAAATGAATTCATCAATAAAATGTGAATTTTACCTGTTTCTATTTATTTACATTTAAACAGAGCTACCAGAAAATCTAAGATTCCATGTGGCCGGATGGTACACATGCAGGCAACCCCCACGCCCTGCCCTAGTGTCTCTTTTCTGTCCTTCACCATGTCCAACAAGACAAGCTTTGCTACTCTCTGAGCCCTGCTGAAAAAGGCACCTCCTCCCACAAGTCTTAGTTGGGCCATCGAGCCCAACTTCATTCCTCTGAATTTCCAAGACACGTTCTTAGGCCCTCTCTCTCGTGCAGCACTTAGTTTATCTCATGATTGTGGCTTAGTCTCTCCCTTCTCTCCCCTCCTTGTGGGATCACAGATTCCCTTAGAGCCGTGCCTATGTCCAACTTTTGTTAATACCTACAGCACCTAACATCCTAACATGCACACCGCAGATGTGGACACATTTGTTAACTGGGTAAACAAGTGAGTGAAAGACAGACTGATTGAAAAGAAATGGACACAGATATTCTTGCAGAAAGGTTAGGAAAGAAATACTCAAGTACTCCTTGTTAGCCAGCCAAGTACTATTCCAAAGCATAGCAACTAGGACATTTTCTAAACACCTTGATTCCTCAGAATTAAGGAAGTAACTCCATTACATGAGAATAAGACTTTTTCACAAAAATGATCACATTCCCAAAAGGGAACATTCTTTACTCACTGTTGAAAATGGCAGGGCAAGTACTTAATAAACATTTGGGGAGGGAAAAAAAGTTATGCAGCTCAGTTTTTAAAATTTTATTTGGTCCAAAGGAAATGCTAATTTTTAAATTTTGAGTGTCTGTCCTTGGGAGTGAGATGTATAAAATATTTGTAACAATAAATGACACACTAACTGCTCCACCATAATCTAGGGGACCCTGCTGTCCAAGGCAGGATGGACTAGTGGAACACCACCATTCTCTTGAGTTGTTCAAGAGGTCTATTTACCTGTGGGGGGAGGTGGGAGAGAAAAACAGTTTCTTTAACTGCAGGGCGCAATGGTGGTGGGGAGAGAATTTCTGTTATCAACCTTAAGTGGAAAAGCAAATATCTTGGCCCAACTCTGATGTTTAATCTTCTTTGGAAACTCCAGAATCTTCTCTAAAGCTCGACTTCACGGCTCGCAACAATCCTTGGAGCATTCGGACTTTTTGCTAAGCTCTTGGGAAGATAAATTCAAGGCAAATTCCCCAAGAGGAAATTAAACTCATCTTAAAAGATGTGAGGCCTTTTCAGAACAAGACATTTGAATTAGTTCTCTCTACTGTCTTTTCCTTCAGCAGCAAAAGACTCAAACGCCTAAGAAGCTCTTAACTAACAGCCATTTTGATGAAAGATTTAAAAATGGAGGCCAGAAGAAAGCATTCAGAGAAGCTGGCTGCTAAAGCCCAAAGCTCACGGGAGCAAATCTCCTATTTTAGGAGTCATGTTTCAGGTCAATGGCCCAAACAAACAGAAAGCATATAACTAAAAGGCAAAACTCAAGGCCTTTCCTTGGTTTCCAAGACTGAAGAAGTGTGACTCTATTCAATGCTCAATGCTGAATCTTCCTGCCCTCTGGAGTCCACCAGGAGTAAAGCTAGACACTGTACTCTAACCTTCTCCCTCCACAGGGGTGGCCCAAAAGCACCTGCCATGCTCCTGGCTCCATTTTTTCATTGCTTTTGCTTCACTTCACAGTGCCTTACAGAACACTTCCTAACATTCTCCAGGGCTAGAGGCCAAGGATAAGAAGTACCCAAGACTGTCTACTTTGGAACCGAAGCAAGTGGTACCCCAATCCCATCTGTGAAAAATGCCTCAAAAAATGGACAATTCTACAGGCATAGTAAAAAGCAAGGAGTGCAAGCACACAAGTCTGGTGGCTCTCCATTCATGGGGCCTCTTTTAAAAGCTGACACTCCACTATGATTAAGAGTAAATGCAACAGATATTTCAAGGAGCTCCCTTCAGATGCAGAACACAACTACCCCAGCTGGAGCAACTACCCCAGCAACCTCCTGGTCCCCAAATACCCCGTGCCTGCCTTGGGGTGGTGGCAGGGTGGTCCAGCAGCAGCCCTGGAGCTTCTCCCAACCAAAACGTGGGGGTGGGGGGGATATGTAAACAAATCATTAGGGAGTCAGACCATCAGGACAGACAGTCGGCAGCGATGGCTCTCCCCTCCCTCGGTCACTGAAAGAAAGGGAGATGACCCAGGCTTGGGGGTAGTTAGCCAGACGAAGCATATCCCACGGGGTCCTGCTACTTAGCTTTCAAACACGCGCATAAAGCAAACGGTGGCCTGTGCCAAAGGGGAAAATGGCCACTTTCTGCTAAACAGTCTCAAGGCTAAGGTCTACCATTTAGAGGGTATTCCAAAAAAAGCGCTGGTCCGGAGGTGCAAAGGGCAGGGCACATCTGCAGAGGAAATAGTCACCTTAATTACCATGTCTAGGGAAAGTGCGATTTCATTACAGCCTCCAAAACTACCGCCCAAAGAAGGAAACCAGAGAAGTGTTTTCAATTTGAAAGAGACTGGAAAGGAGAGGGTGAGAGCGACCCAACTCTACCCATCCTCCCGCAACTTTGGACCAGAAGGTGTTTTCCCACCTCAAAGGATATGACCATAGCCCGTCCCCAAGCCAAGCTCCGTTTTCAAACCTGTAGCCGTTACTTAAATGGCAACATGTCCCACGGTAGTTTCCGGCGCTGCAGCCCAAATAACTCCTTAAAAAACGCGCAGGGAGCGCCTGCGGCAGCAGCGGCGCACCCCCTCCCCCGCCCCACGCAACGTCCCCGGGCTCGGGCCAAGGAGGGTGGAAAGGGGACGCATGACGCCACCGCGGGCGGCCCCAGACCGGACGGCGGGCCTCAGACGGAGTCAGATGCTCCGGCTGCTCCAGCTGTAACTCAGGGGGGCAGAAAGGCCAGGCTTTGGTTCCAGAAATTTCCGTCTGGGCCAGTTCTGGGTCAGACCCCGGGCCCAAGAGGCCACCTCCAGCAGAACGGTTGGAAAATGCCACCCCCTAAAACCTCGGCCCCATCTCCAGCTGTGCCTCTTTTCTGCACAATCTGGAAAGAAGCAACAACCATCAGCTCCTACATAACTTGGGATCCAGGGTAACTTTCCTTTCTCCCCAAATCCCAAAGCCTCATCTCCAAGGCTCCAATCTAAAACCGAGAGGTGGTCCTTCAGGACAAGTTTCAAAATCCCAGTTTTAATTTGGGGTAGGGGGAAGGGAGGAGGATGTTAATAATGTGGCTGCGGTGTACCCGTGTGGGGTGAAACGGAACCAGATGCGGCTGATACATCTGGAAAATGGGGGAGGGGGGTGTTGGGAGAGAAAGACGCCGCAGAAAAATCTAAATGGGTTAATAGCTCCTGGGCCTAGAAAGGAGAAGCAGGAGTCACCCCACCCTCCAAAAAGGTGTCTGACTGCCTTCATAGGATGGTGCTAAATGAACTCTGTCTACAACGTCAATAAATTCCTCTGCAAATAAGGGTCAGCCTCTCTTCTCCCAACCCCAAACATAACGGGAGGGAGGAGCGGGGTGGGGGGCAGCGAGGGGTCTGGGCCCCATAAGCAACAAGCAGAGCTGCCGAGTGAACCGCACCGGACAAAACCCTCATCCCTTCCCCCACCATCTAGAGCCTCCTAGGAACTGAACGTTCTTCACCCCCCACCCCCATAATGGGGCTTAACATCACACCCCCCTTCCCCAAACTTCCGTCCCTTTCCTTTCCGAGATAGACAAAGTAAAAGATAAGTCCCTCTGGAAAAGGGAATTCCTTTCTGACTCTCAGCCTGAGCAGATTCAGCCATTTGGTGACGACATCTCCCTAAAACCTATTCGAAGAGAATCTAACCTAACCCTCTACTTCCTTCGCTCCTCATGACCCCCCATCCCCACCCCCCACCCCAATCCCTGAGTTTCCCGGAGGTGGGGAAAGACTGGGAAATGCCCCCCGCATTTTGAGAGTTCCACCCAAAGCTACCTGCTGAATTGGGGTGAGTCCCCAAGAGTAGATTAAAAAGATTGGAGTGAATGCCACACACACACCCCACTTCGAAGCCCACTCCCGGCTCCTCCTGGTCTGAAGACACCGAGGCCGCTGTCCCCTCCCGGGACTCACCGCGCGCCGCCGCCAGCTCCCGGGCTCCCCGGCTCCCCAGCGGAGTTGGCGGAAAAGTTGGGCGGCAGGAGAAGCGGCAAGACCAGCGCTGGGAGGGGGCGCAGAAGACAACGCGAGCGGAGGGAAGGGAGGGGGGAGACAAAAGGGGGGCGCAGAGCGTCGGGGAGGGAGTCGGGAGGTGGAGGGGGGCGGGTAACCAGGGAGGCGCCGGACCCGACAGGGCTGCGGCAGGGGAAGCGCGCAGCCGGGAGGCTCCAGCGCCGGGGGCCGCTCGGGACGCCAAGCCCGCCCCGGATCTGGGGGCGCCGCGGCTCTTACCTCACTTGGCGCTGCGATTCCGCCTCTGGAGAGTCCGCCGTGGCTCGAGCCGGCGGGCGGGCGCCCGCGTCCCCGGCTCCGGCCCGCCGCCACCCGGCCCCACTCGGATTCTAGCGGGGCTGCGAGAGCCCCGCGGCCGGCGCTCGACTCCCGGTGGCGCTCGGGGTTCGGCGCCTCCAGCCCGGGCGGGAACAATGGAGCCGAAGCTGGTGCCCCGGAGGCGGGGCGGGGGGAGGGCTCCCGTCCGCCGCCCGGGGTCTCCAGACCCTGTGGCCCCCCCGCTCCAGAACCGGGCGGCGGCGCCTCAAGCTTCTAGTCGACTGGACTCCATCGTGCTGGGGGGTCCCCGGCGCCTCGGCGTGTCCGACTGCAGCGCTGGCACCGTGCGCCCGCGGGGCGCCCCTCGGACCGGAGAAAAGTCCCAGGTCTCCGCGGCTCTTCCAGCTGCGGCGCGCGCTCGCGGCCGGGGAAGGCGAGGTCGCCGCAATGCGCTAAGCAGAATCTAAGTCCGGTCCCGACGCGGCCGCCCTGCTCCGGGCACAGCCGGGGCGCCTCCGCGCGCTGCCGCCGGACCGGGGGACGGGTCCCGCTCGCCGCCGCCCGCCGCCGAGGCCACCGCACTAGTGCCCGCAGGAGCGCTCCGAGCGCTGTGCGCCGGCGAGGCGCGAGGACTCGCGCTCACTCCCACCCGCCTGGGCCCTCCCCCGCCTCCTCCCCCTGCAGCTGCCTGCTGGGCCTTGTAGTTCCCGAGCCGCGGCCCGGAGAAGCGGGGAGAGGGCTGAAGTGCCCGGGGCTCTGCCGCTCCTTTCGGGAGGTCTGGTCCCCCTGGGCGCGCGTGCCCCTCAGGGTTACCTCCTGGGAGGCGCCGGAATTTCAGTCCCGGGCAGATTAGCAGATTGGGGGGTGAAGTAGGGAAAAGCCGTGGCCCTGAGATTGCACGCGGTAACGTGGACTTCAGCGTCTATGTGGCTTGGGGGAATTGATTTTCTCACGCTGAATCTCAGTTTTCTGGTCTGTAAAGGGGGGGGGGGGTGACAGTACTTTGCATATAGAGTTGAGGATTATATGAAGGCCCAGCACTTAGTTAACACTCAATAAATACAAGATGATTTTATCCATGAGAAGATGGACACCACCCTCCCCCTTCCCAGATCTTCCCCTCCCATCTCAATTTGTCCAGCCCTGGAGTTTAGGTTTTGAGGGCCACAGGTAGCCAGGCACTGTAAAGTCTAGGGAACCATTCTTGGCCTCCAGAAGTCTCCAGCCTGCAGGGAATGGTTAAGAAGCAAAGAGCGTGATGGGAGCTGGGCATTGTTATTTGCCTGGAAATTAGCCAGAGCCTACCAAAGTGGCCAAGAAGTCCTTTTTTTTTTTAGGTCTTTCCACAGGTCCTTCCACAGAGTGCTTTAGTCTAGTGATACCTTAATCCAAATGAACATCAGTCCTGTGGGGGATCGACTGAAAAACACAAAATAGTGGACCTACTCAGATTTAGGAATCAGGCTGTCTCAGGAAAGAGTCGAGAATGTATATTTGTTCTAAGGTTCCCATGAGACCTTAAAGGTGAGGTGAGACCAGGTTGGGGCCACCGGTAAGAGGAAATATAAGCCACACTAGTTTTGTTTTTTTTTTTTATTTTTTTTTTTATTTATTTGTTTGTTTTGTTTATACAAGCACTGGGTACAGTCAGAAGCGCGGGAGGGTGAGAGAATTCACCAGAGCCAGAGTGGGGAGCAGAGCAGGCAGAAGGACCGAAGTACACTAGTTTTGTTTTTTTTTTTTATTTTTTTTTTTTATTTATTTGTTTGTTTTGTTTATACAAGCACTGGGTACAGTCAGAAGCGCGGGAGGGTGAGAGAATTCACCAGAGCCAGAGTGGGGAGCAGAGCAGGCAGAAGGACCGAAGTACACTGCTGAGGGGAGCAGCGGGCGGCAGGAGAGGTCTGCACGCCATGTGGGACCCTCCTCCGGTGGCCGGGGAGCAGCCGGGGATCGAACCGGCGCTGCAGAGGCCGCGGGCAGCTTTGCAACCCAGCGCTCAACCGCTGCGCCACCGGGGAGGCCCATGCCACACTAGTTTTGAAGGACAAGCCCTATCTGGTCCCCCAGTTAGGACCTGTATTTTGGACAAGTCATGTGATTGAAAAATCGGGACTTGTTTACCTATCACTCTCCAGTTGCTTGGGACTCCCTCACAAGGTTGAGGATCAAATAAAATAACGCATGTCTAGTGCACCAAAAGTGCTAGACAAATAGAAGTCACTATGTCAGGTAATGGTAGGGTATGTTCTCCACATCCACACTGAGGGTCATCTGATGTGGGATGCATGAATACTGAAGAAGATTATGCCACTCCCTAATTTAAGGAGTGTCTTAAGTTAGTTCTTTATTTGACCATCAGTGCAAGAATAGTGAATAGCAGGATCTCAGTAAATGTCTGTTGACTGAAGAGTAAATATTAAATGAATATTTGAAGTGCAAATGAGCAAATTAAAGTGAAGTAGAAAGTGTGAATAAATGAACTTCTGCCATTTTTAAATAGCATTATTCCCCTACAAGTCTCTCTCTCTACCTTTCAGCCCTTCAGCTCCTCCTCCTCTCCGTTTTATCCTCTGTTTATCCTCCCCTCAAAGCTGCCTCCATATCAGGTTATCTTCGATTAAAATAATGTTCATTTGAGGCCCACAAGAAGGCGCAACTCACTTGGCTCTCCCTTGGAGAGCTCTTCCTTGCCAATCTCAGCCCTGTCAGTCTCTGGAACTCCTATTGACCTCAATTTGAGGCTTAACATAGCTTTGTTAGTTGTCTCTCTCATTCTTTTTCTCTAGCTAACTTCTAAACTGTTCTAGGGCAAGGATCCTATCTACATATCTGATCTCACGCAGGACGCCACTCACAGGTGTTTTGTCCATGCATCTTGTTGATGGATGGACTTGATGAGGGTAACAAGCATATGGGACCAGAGGAAGACATACAACAGAAGGGAATATGACTGGGAAGATTAGTCACGGAAAATTCAGCACTTAATTTTAACACCCAACTACTTCCTCATTTTATCACTACTAAAAGAGGACATACCACCCTTCCTCTCTATGATTCTTTTAAGACAGGAGTTTTAAATCTAGCTTTTTAATCTTTTGATTTGGAACTATGGTAGACATAGTTTGAACCCAAAAGAAGAAGCTGAAGAATATGTCCTTGACTTAAGCAGAAAGAAAATGACCCCAGTGCTGTTGACATCGAGGGCGTAGACCTGCTGTTGAACATACTTCTCTGTAGATTTAGCAAGAAACCAAAATGAAAGCAAGCGGCCAACTTCATAGCTCCCTCTCACCCAGTTTTCAGGGAAACAGCCAGAGGCAGTGTGTAATAGGGAAGGTGAGAAACCCAGACACCGAATGGGCCATCCACAGACCACAGACTTGGCTCCTGAATAATTGAGAGCCGGCTGCTTTTATCCTCCCAGTCAGCTCTCCTTCAGTGCTTCTCCTTCCCCTCCTCTTCCCGAAATGCAGACCCTCCACTCCAGGACAGCCCCCAGGAGGAGGGCTCCCCAGTGGAGAGAGAGCGCATCTCCAGGGTAGCCCTGAGCAGCTCCTGGCAACAGGGTCGGAGACTGTCCTGCCTGCCTCTGTCCTGCTCTGAGGACTTCTGGCACCTTGCCGCCCCACACAGAAATGTTATCTTCCCTCAGAGATAACAAAGAGCTGGGAGGGTCAGGGAGGATTTGTAGGCCCCTTGCCCTGCCAGCTAGATGTCTGAAGGGGAGACAAAGGCCCTTACGCTCCAGGATTTGATAACCAGTTGGGGGCCTGTTGCCTCATGGAGCAGTGGGAGGAGGGAACTGGTGCCGAATGAAAGAGAGGGAAACAGAGCTCTCCCTAAAGCCCCATCATTTCTCTTTGTTTGGAACACTGCAGAAAATCCCTTCCCTCTTCCTCCAGCCACTTGTGTCCTCAGAGTTCACCCAGAAAGGAACTTCTCCCTGTGCTTCTTCCCTAGCGCTCCTTTGCTCTATCTGAGTCTACTGATTTCAGGGCGCAGCTGTTCCCACAGGCAGCAACACCCCTACCACACTGGGGTGGTACTACAAAGTTAACACCTCCCTGTTATAGAAAGGGGGGAGGGGAGAAGGAGGCCTCATATATACTGACTTTAAATTTGGTCCTGGCGCTGCCCCAGGGCCTTTGGGAGTCCCTCTCAGAGGCTTGATGCTGACTGAGCACTGGTCCTGGAGGGGATCCAGAGGAGGGAACTGACTGGGTTTTCCTTACAGAGTGGCTGTTCACAGGTCCCTGGGAGCAGGTGGGAAGCCAAGCCTTTTGCCCCAGGCCCCCGGAGTTAGGGAACAGCAGTCAGTTACCATCTGGCTGCCATTTGGTGACCCCTGGCTGTTCTCAGCACAACTTCAGCATATCAAGGAAGGGAGGGTCTTATTTGGCTCAGTGTTTTTGTAAATAGCATTTCACTCTCTTACCAACTGGGAGTGGGAAGGGAGCTGACAGTAGTGCCAGCTCAGCTTGTGGGCCCTATGCATTGAGCATAGAGGGTGGGGTACTGCTTATGAGATGAGCACTGGACTGGGCACAGTGGGTCTGAAGAATAAAGAGATGAGGCTCAGTCTCTGGGAGGAGCTCACAACCATTTGGGGGAGACCAAACATTATAAGTAGTGTCACACCAGGGGTACCTGCAAGTTGTCTGGAGAGTAGAAACCAGGAAAGGAGACCACTTGGTGAATGTGATGCCTAAATCTAAAACCATGAACAACATGTGAAAATC